AGAGGGCAGATGAAACTGACACCGAAAAGTACTAAGCACATCTCATCCCAGGTCTTTGTTTCTAAACCCCACACTCTGTTTATTAACAGGGCGTCAGGCTCCTTAGAAAAGTGGCTGGTTCGCAGGGGAGCCCAGGAGCCCTAGTAACAGGGCAGGCAGAGAATTGCCTGAGAATTGCCAGAAAATCGCCATCGCTGGTGGTGCCAATCCAGGAGAGCCGACATTCCCATGAGTACTGGGAAGCCTTTGCTCTACCCATTCTGCAGAGGAGAAAACTGAGGCACCAGGAGGTTGGACGAATGACCTAGAGTCATGCAGAGCTACAGCCAAGCCACCCCAGCACCAGGCTTCCAGGGAGCGTGATTGCCCCCACGTAGCAAGGACACGGTGCTTGGGGAACAGAGACAGACTCCAGCTGGGCTGGCTGGGGGACAGGAGGCAAGCTGCCTGACCCTTCTGGAGCACAGAATCCTTCCCTTAAAACTAGAGGAACAAGCACCCCGTACCTATCTTCTCTTTGGTTTTAAAACTTCATTGTGTAACAGTAATCCCACCACATACCCATCATCAACGCCAAGAACGATCAACTCACAGCTCTTCTTGTTCCTTCTACATCCCCACCCTTCCACCCAGGCCCCCAATATTTGGGAAACAAATTCCAGACATAATATATTTCATTTCTAAGTATTTCAGAATCTCTAGAAGATGAGGATTAAACATGCACAACTCTTCATTTTCCTCTTGAAAGTTTCCTTCTGGACATCCAGTTCCCCTTTAGGCTTGGGAAAGAGGACCCGATACTTCTGGTTTTTTCCAGAGGAAGGTTTTGATGTCCAGGTCGGGTGGCTGGAGGCGCGGGGAGGAACATGGGACCAGACGGGAGGAAAGCCTGAAGCCTGGCTGAGAGTCACGGCACAGAACCAGCCACCGAGAATTCTAGCATTGCATTTGTGTGATTTGTTGTTGTTCTTTTTTTCCTGCTTCAGAACCTGACTGCTCCGTGGATTCTGAGAGCTTGGAGAACACACTCCGCCCGTTTTGTGCCGCGTCTACCTTCCCTTCTTGTATCATAGACTCTATTTTACCTCCTCAAGAACAACGTTCCCTCTGAAGTGGTGAGGTGCCCGACTTCTAGGGGATGGGGAGGAGCGCCCCACACCCAGCGGCAGGAAAGGGCAGAAATGAGACGACCCCGGGAGGTTCTGGCCCCGCCCCCGACCGCAAAGCCCGTGTCCCCAAGTAAAACGAGGAGGACGCACGTCTACGGAGTTGGATCGTTAACGTCGTCACAAGGTTTCATTTCTGAAATGCTTCCTGAGAAAACAAAGCACAGCGCTTGGGGAGTGAAAAATCCCACAAAACGGTCCATCCTCCCGCGAGGGGGTGCCCGTTTGCCCTCCCGGGATCCAGCCCGTCCCCACGCAGACCGTGGGAAAGCGGAACCGTCTGTGGGGGGTCCCCCGGCAGCTCGGCCCGGCGCGCCCCCAACACAGAAAAGTGCATCAGCAGCGGGCACCGCCCGAGGTTCCCGGGGCAGGGCGGACGCGGGGCGGGGCCGGGGGCGGGGCGGACGCGGGGGCGGGGGCGGGGCCGGGGCCGGGGCCGGGGCCGATGGGGAGGAGCGCACCCGGACCCGGTGGACCGGGGTGGACCGGACCGGGTGGACCAGGGCGGGGTCGGGCGCGCGGCGGACGGCATGGGGCGGGGTGGTGAGGGGCGTCCCCGGGCGGGACCGGGAGCCGAAAAGCGGGCGGAGGCGCGGCCCCTAGAGTGGGTGGCCTCGGGGCGTATCTGGGGAGGGGTCGGGGCCAGACGCGGGGCGGGGCGGACGGGCGGGGGGAAGGGTGAGGACCGGCCCCGGGCGGGGCGCGGAGATCGGGGCGGGGGCGCGGTCGCCAACGGGGCGGACCTGGGCGGGGCGGCCCCTGGGCGTGGACGCGGGCACCCCGGGAAGGCGGAAGGACTCGGCGCGCCCGGCGGCCCAGCGCAGAGCGGTTTCCTTACTACGCGCAGCTGCGCCCCCGCCGAGTCCCCAAGTCCCTCAAGTCCGGGCCGGGAGCCCCCAGCCCCGCGGGCGCCATGCGGGAGCAGCTGCTGTTGTTCTGCAACTGGAGCACTCTGGGCGTGTGCGCCGCGCTCAAGCTGCCGCAGATCTCCGCGGTGCTGGCGGCGCGCAGCGCGCGGGGCATCAGCCTCCCGAGTTTACTTCTGGAGTTGGCGGGGTAAGGAGGGGGCGGCTGCCCTTCCCCCTAGTCTCTGCGGCCTGGAGGGGCCGGGACCCCGGGAGCGCCGCGGGTCTAACAGAGTAGGGCCAGGAAGCGGAGCCGAAAGCGCCCGGCCACTGGGCAGATACTTCCAGGGGCCGCTCACCATCCCTGATTAGTTGCGGCTCACCGCGCCCACGGCGCACGCCCATTTTACAGATGCGGAAACCGTCTGGCGAAACCACCCGTCCGGCAGCCACAGACCGACCGAGCGGCTTTGAGCGAGCCATTTGCACCTGGAGGCTCTGTCATACACATCCTCCCCCGCCATCACCCCTTTTCTCGGGTCCCGATTTCTTTGCGTGTAAATGAGGGGCTGAACTATAAATTCTAAGGATCCCCTGGCTTTTAAAAGGTACACGTGACGGGGGAGGAGGCTTCAAAGAATGGAGAGCTCTTTGGAGGGAGAGGAGAAGGACTTGAATCCGGCCACAGCCAGCCGGAGAGGAGCCAGGGCGCTCCGAGGGTCAGAAGTTCCGAACGGCCGCCCTGACTCCGTATTTAAAGATGTAAACGCGAAAAGCAGAGTTGTAAACCTCGGTTGGGAAAATTCGAATTGGTGGGAAAGCAGGTACACGAAGCCCGGCACCCCTGGCAAGGCCAGGCCCACCTCATCTCGCTCCTCGCCCGCTCGGGCCCCCCAGTTACCGCCCCGCGACCGTGCGGGCCGGTCCTCGGCGGATGCACGCCCTGGAGAGGCAGCCGGCGGGTTGACCCCGGGATTCGGGGGCTGGATAGAAGCCGGGGGCAAGGGAGGGAGAAAGAGACCTGGGGTGGGGGTGGGAGAAGTGGGGGGTCCTGCCCCGGGCGCGCTCGTGTGGAGAAAGGCTTCGTCCAGAAAGAATCGGGCGCTGGCGCGTGTGTGAACGACCCCACAACACTGGGGTCCCGTCTGCGTAGCCGGGATCGGAGAGGCCGGCACCGCTGCGTCCGTCCTGGGGCGGGGACGGCCGGAGAGAGGGCGTCGGTTTCTCTAGGTCCCCGACCAGGGAAGGTGAGGCTGGCGCGGTGCGGGTGAGCCGAAGACCGCCGACGCCTCTAGAATGGGTCGGGAGCGTGCGCGCACCTGCAGCTCGGCAGGCGGCCCACAGCTGGGGGGAGTCGCGCTGTCCCACCGCGCGCGGGGGCAGAACTGTCCCCGGGCTGTGCGGTGCGGCCCGCGTGGGCGGGTCGGAGGAGGCCCGTGTGCGGGGCCTGCGGGGATGGCGGCGCAGTTGGCGGCGCGGGCGGTGGGCTTCGTGGAGGCCGGCCTGGCGCACGGCCCAATGTAAATGGCCGCGGCTGTGACCAGGCCCCTCTCCTCCAAGCCCAGCTGGAAGTGATCGGGGGCTCCCGCCGCTGGATTCCTGGGTTTTATCGCCGGCTCAGGCCACACTTCCTCCAGAGCCGGGTCTGCGTGCGGACCCTGTACTTTAAAGGCTTTATGGTATTCAGTCCTCAGGACGGCCAAGGGGTTAAGCATTGTTTTCTTCCCCAGCCAGCAGGAAGCCTAGGCGGAGAAGGTGAAGCACCGGGCCCAAGTTCACGGGCAGCGGCAGGACCCTAGGGCTCAGCCGGTCCCTGGCTCTCTCCATGCTGATGCCTACCTTCCCCCGCTCTCCACACTCACTGGGTTTTGCTGCTTTCTGGGCTCATCCGCCATGTCGTGGGCGGGGGGAAGGGGTGGCAGCACCTTGCCGGCTTCCCCCTTTCCTTCCCAGCCTTCGCTGGTTGGCGTCGTCTGGGCCTGGGCGCTCGGGGCAGTGCCTGCCTGAGGCCTACTAGGGGGAGGGGAGCCGCCAGAATTCCAGCAGAAAGAACCCCGTAGGCATCAGCATCAGCAGGACCCTTTATCTCCTGGGAAGTAGAAGATATAACAGCCTCTTGGAGGACAGGTACCTCCTTGGATCCTGATCTCAGCAAATTAACTCTGAAAACCCGTGTCTGAAAGAATTGCGCCAATGGGGACATAAGCCATATCTTAATGATTCCAGAAAATGACATGAAATGTGGGTTGCTCTGAAGCCTGCTGGTGACCCTACTGGTCATCCATCCCGCAGGGTCTGCTCCAAGTTTGCTGTGCCTGCGGCTGGCTGGCTGCCCTTGTGCTCTGCAGAGGTGGGTGGGGTAGAGCCGCCCCCAGGTCCTCCTCAGAAAGGTGCTGTTCTAGAGGCCCGACAGGAGGGGAGGCCAGGCAGCCGGGTAGGGCCAGGAAGAGCCTCCGCTTTTCCCCTGACGCCCAGACGTGACCAACTGCAAAGCCAGACTGCAGGCAGCCCAGCTGTGGGGTCCGTGGGGCGGGCTGCAGGCTGTGAAGGGGACAATGAGGGAGGCCCAGGCCCGGGGAGACGCACGCGCTCATGGTGACGCTGGCGGCCCACCTCCCATCCTATGACCTTACCCCCAGCTCAGCCAAGAACGGTTCGGTTCGATAAGGTGGAAACAGGATTGGGGCGGGAGGCACAGGCTTGCCAGTCCCCTTCCTCGCTGAGGTCATGAGAGGTTACGTTTGGATGAGGGAGGGAGGGTGCTCTGGCTCACCTGGACAGACGGCCTGGGTGATGGGGCAGGAGGGTCTGAGGGGACAGCATGGGGATTTAGGTTCTGAGAGAACTGACCGGCGCAGGTGTGTGAGCTGGAAGGGCAGGAAGCCCAGGCCTTTCCTCCTGAGAAGGGTCATCTCCTGGGGTCTCTACCTGGGCCCCACCAAGTCCCGGGCCACTTCGAGCTAGAATATTCTTTTTTTTTTTTTTTTTTTTCACATTCAGTACTTTTATTTAACTGTTGAGGCGACAAACGACGTATCTCCCACCCTCTCCTTTAAGTTAGTGTGACAATTTTCCATAATAAACTACTTAAAGAGAAGCTTTGGTCAAGAATGGAATGAAATAGCAAAAACAAAAACAAAATAACCCCATATCACTGCTGCTTTTAAAAAACCAACACTGTCACCAATTATATTCAAACAAACACACACACACGGTATTTGCGAGAAACGTGTCTTCAGCGTCTCCTTGCGGCTGGCTCTCCTCACCACCATGCACACGGCGGGGCCGTGTCAGCGCGTGTGTCAGTCTGTCACGCTGGATCTGGGAGGCTCACTCAGCTTCACATTATCCGGAGGCCCTGGATGGAAGACTCTAAGGTCTGGAAATCCCAAATTGTCATGGCTCCATCGATGCCAGTAGTGCAAAATTTGCGACAATCTTGCTTGTCCACTTCATAAATAGACACCTGAGTGATGCTATTCTGGTGCAGCGTCTCCAAGGCTGTGTTGCGGTCCTCGGTCGTGGCCCTCTTGTCCATGTTGCGGAAGCGTTCCGTGGCAGACATGTTGCGCTGAATGCTCTGTTTTGGAATGTCTAGTTTGGAGACGAAGGTCAAGCAGCCACGGTCATTGTAGTTAAAGAGCATTGGGCAGCAGTCATGGCCCGCAGCTACAACGCTATTCTCTGAGACAAATGACACACTCAGGAGGGGCAGGAACTCTGTTTTCAGAGTTGAGACCTGCACGCTTTTTGAGGCGTCAGCAACGGATACGGTGCTGTCGTGGCTGACCCAGGCCAGGCGGCTGCCGCTGGCAGAGAAGCTGACCCCATGCACCCAGCCACCGGTGCCACTGCCCCCCAAACTCTGACATCAGCTGACCAAAAGGCATCTTGCTGCCCCAGGGCGTACTGGCTGGCTTTTCATCCACTTCTTTAATGTAGGCAGAAAACACTCTGCATTTGAAATCGCAGGATCCTGCGGCCAGCAAGACGTTGTTGGGATGCCAATCCAAGCTGAGGACCGTGGAGCGAATAGGCTTTTTAATGTGCTTGCTTACCCACCAGTCATTTTCAGACTCAAAGTAACAAACAGAAATGAGTCGTGCTCCACTTCCCACAGCAAATTTGTTCTCTAGCGGGGACCACTTGACAAAAGTTGCTGCACGATTAATTCTCAGGATCACCAGGGTTGGCTTCCAGACACCATCTTTCTGACTCCAGACGTAGGCATTGCGGTCTGCCCCACAAGTGACGATGCAGTCACTCTTGGGAGCCCAGTCGATACCTGTAATGTGTCCGTTGTGCTCCTTGAGCTCATGAGCTTTCACCCACTGGCTCCCGTTCTTCTTATAGATGTGGACTTCATGATTGTTGGGGCTAAGAGCAATCTGGGTACGATCCCTGTTCCAGGCATGACAGGTGATTGGCTCTAGTAAAAACTGATGTAGGGACATTATTCTTAGTGTTTTCAAAGGATAGAAAGCTGGGATCGGAGCAGTGCGGACCGGCTCGGAGCGGAGAATTCCGAGCTAGAATATTCTTAAGGAACTGGTGGCTGTTCGTCCTGCCTTTCCCCCCGCTGCTCCTCCTATCCAGGGCAGCAGTCTGGAAGGCCACAGGGATCGTCCAAGGAGTTGGTCCTCCTCAGGACTCCTCTCTCCGCTCAGGGCTGCACCCACACGCGCCCAGCCCCTCATGAGCTCTACCTCCTGCCCCCTGGGATGTCCGTCTGAGCCTTCTGGGGAGGCTGCCTGTGCCCTGGAGCTTTGGAGACAGGCCAGCCCGGGGGCCCCATGCTGGCACGGCTTGGCCTCCGTGGAAGGGACTTGGCAGAGACCATGCATGTCTTGCCCAGCGCCCCGTCAGCCCTGGGCACGTGCTCAAAGCCGTGTCCATTCCATCCTTTGTGTCCCAAATCACCTCCACTTGATATTTGCAGGCTCCAACCTCCAGTTCCAGGGTTTTGTGAGCAAATTTGGGCTCCCCCCAGGGGGAGGGGGTGGCTGGCCAGGCCTCCTCGCCGGGCGCTGGATCAGTGGAGCTCAGGCGTGCCCTCTCTCTCCCCAGTTTCCTGGTGTTTCTCCGGTACCAGTGTTACTATGAGTACCCGCTGTTCACCTACCTGGAGTACCCCATTCTCATCGCACAAGGTAACAGGTCCCTGGGACCCCTCCATCCCCTGGTGTCCCCCCCAATGTCCATGTCCCCCCCCCAACATCCCCCCCACCTTCTCCTGCCTCACTGGGGACCTTTGTCTTTCAGATGTCCTCCTCCTGCTGTGTGTCTTCCATTTCAATGGGAACGTGAGAGGGGCAGTGCCCTACCTCGGGGCGTATCCTTCCTTCTGCCTTCAGGAATGGGGGTGGGGGGAAGGGGGTGTTACCTGCTTCCCGTGTATGTCGTTAAGCCAAGTCCTTTCCCAGATACATGTCCTTTTGGTTAAACTAAAAAAGATCCCAAACGCAAGACACCCTACGAGTGACGATACCTCCCCAACCCAGAGATAGTCCTGGTGGTCCCGGCCCTCCGGCTGCTCTTCTGAGGCCAGGGTGCCCACGGCACAGCGAGCCCATTGGCTTGTGGACTCCCTCCCTCCTGGCGCGCTGCGCGATGGAAGCGTCTGCCTGGGGCTGCCTGGTCCACCTTTGTTCTTTAGGGGAAGGGAGACGTTCCCTCTTCCCTGGAACCGTCCGGAGTCTCTGAAGTCCGAGTAACAGGAATGGCTCTCATTCACACGATACTAACGCACCGGTCGGCGGGCTGGCTCCTGCCTGTCCCTGTGCGAGCGGGGTTCTGGAACGTTTGTTCCAAGTGAAAATGATGCCCCAGACATGAGAAGGGTTGTGGTGATCTCTCATGTGGCATCGTCTGTGACCTGGGGCCCGGCTTTCATTTCAACGCTCTGTAGAAATTGCACGTCCCGTCTGTGAGATGAGTCGTGCCCCCGTTTTGTCGCAAGAGTCACAGTCGTGGGAGCACGGAACAAGCTCCGGTTTACGACCTCCTCCGACCAGCCGTGATGAGCGGGAGGGAGGTTTGCCGTATTAACAGTGAACTTCTTCCTTAGCAAAAGCGTGTCCCCAGTATTGTGTGGGACGTGCTTATACGCAAAGACTATTTTTGTCGACCTGAAATTCACATTTAACAGGGTGCCCTGTACATTTATTTTTGAAGTCAGGCCACCTGATCCAAAGGTCATTTTGAGGAAGTCAGGAGTTGCTGTTCCTGCCTCTACCCGTCAGGTTTTGTAAAATGTTACGTAAGATGGATATTTGGAATGAATAGTATAAAGCTGGGCAAAATTCGTATAAGAAATTGAATTAGAGCGTGTTTTTAAAAAAGATTCTTATTTTATTTATTTGACAGAGAGAGATCACAAGTAGGCAGAGGCGGGGGCGGGGGGTTGGGGAGCAGGTTCCCTGCTGAGCAGAGAGCCTGATGCGGGGCTCTATCCCAGGATCCTGAGATCCTGACCTAAAAGGCAGAGGCTTTAACCCACTGAGCCACCCAGGCGACCCTAGATTGTGTTTTAAAAACAAGATTTCATCTGCCTGGATTCCGGAGGCCCTGCTGGTGTGACCAGGTTGGCAGGAATTACTACTCACCTGGGCACTGTGGAACCCTTCGTTTAAATAATGTTGTTAGTTGTAATCATAGCAACCTGGTGGGATCCCTCTGATGTGCCACCAGGCATTGAGGACACAGATGGGACAAGGAGTGTTAAGACCATGTTGCAGATAAGCAAACTGAGGTTAAAAGAAGGACAGTGACTTGCCCAAGGTCACAGCTGAGGCTCCCGGCCGTTATCTCTTGTGTTTGCTTCAGCTCGGTCTGACTCAGCTTGTAGCCTCACCGAGCTTGACCGAAATGTGCTGTCATGTCTCCTGTCTCCCAGCATGGCTAACGCGGCTGGACTGACACTGGAGTTAGCCAGGAAGGGGGAAGTCAATGAAGAGAATTTCATGGGACACCTGCAGAACGCGGCTGCCTTACCGTGTCGATCTTTAAATGCTTAACTTTGACATTGCATTGGAGAGGTCTGATGCTCAGGGATTAAGTGGGCACTTAGAATCGTTTGGACCCTAGCAACTGTCCACCAACGCAGGGGGCTCTGGGCCATTCTCTTCCATAATCTGCTTCTGTTCTTTTGAGCCGTTCTTGTCTTTTCCAAATCAGAGAAGTTCTAGCAGTGCGGTTCCCAGGCCCGCTTATGGGCCAACCCTCCGTGGTCTTGGCATGAAGGCTCCGGCACGCGGTCGGGGGGCGTGGCGGGGCACCAGCTAAACCACTGCTGTCTCCCTTAGCACTGGGTAGGTTTGTGGCCTCGTGGTTCATCCTTCCCCTGCAGAAGTGGACCATAGATCTGGCCATGGTAAGTGTTATCGCGCCTTTTGAAGACAGAGTGGGTGAGGTTGTCTGTCCCTCCAAGCCACCGGTCCCGCAAAGAACCGTGTAGATCAAATGTTTAACCTGCTTACTTCTCAGCTGTGCCGAAGGATAACGAACAAAAGCACAGTCCCATCCAAACGTTAAAAGACCTGATTCTCAGATGTTTGGCCACATTTTTTACTTCCTTTTTTAGGTGGTCCATAGAGAACCAGGCTGGGGAGGTAGTTAACAGTGGTAGATGAAGGACCCGAAATAAGTTAAAGAGCTTCTGATCAGGTCTATAATTGCATATTGGCCACAAACGCATTATTTTCCCAACCTTGCCCTCCCCTGCCCCCTGCAACATTTTTGTCCTCCTTAGAAAAGGGTTAGCTTTGTACTTTTTTCCTTCTCTGGTTAAGGGCCCCAAATTCCCATTGTGTGAGAATAGAGTTCTGAGGGTGGGTCAGGACCCATCTGCCCCCAGATCTTCTCTCCAGAGTGACTGGAGTGTACTTCTCCACCCAAGGGGAAAGGGAGCAGAGTTGGTGGTAACCAGCGTCTGCCTGCCACTCCCAGATCCTTGGACTTCACCCCTTCCCTCACGTCTTGTCTGTGACCTTTGCTCAGAAAGCACACTTGACTCCCTATTACATTTCAACCTTTTGACACGTGGGAGCAAATAGGTGGGGTTGCTGTATTAATAACGAAGAATTTTTTATATAAATATGTCCCAAATATTGCACAGGACATACTCACGCTAAAAATGATTTGCTGTTGATTTGAAATTCGAATTTACCTGGGTGTCCTGTATTTTTATTTGCTAAATCTGTGCGGGCCTTGGCGAAGCTCCCCAAGAGAACTACTTCACGATTCTGGAGATGGTTTTTCTCCTGGAAGACGGAGGAGCGGTGGCGTATCCAGCCGACACTGTCACACTGTCTGTGCAGCGCTGGCCTTGCCCCTGGCATGAGTGAACGGGGCCCTACCTTCGTTCCTGCTAGCGGGCCCTCCATGCTCTCCTGATCCCCACCCCCTCCCCCGCAGCCCCCCCGCCGGCCTGCACTGCCCTGTGCCCTGGCCAGCTCTCTCCGACGCAGTCTTCCCACCTGGGGTCCGTCCTCAGAGCCGTCTGCGCCCAGCTCCCCGCAAGACCTCTCTTTGGCTCTGGGCGCAGGCCCTGGCTCTTCTCCGCTAGAGCACTCCATGCCCATCACTTCCCCACAGTCCTCCCGTGTCCTAGGGACCCCCTCGCTCCTCTGCCCTCCCCATCACCTGTGCAGAACCGCGTTGCTGTTGTGGATTTGGTCATTCAGCAAGAGCTCGTGGAGTGCCAGCACCATGTTGGGTGCGGGGGGCCGATCAGAAGCCACACGTGTGCTCTGGTCAAGGACACCGGCCACTGTCATTCGTTCCTCCTCTTGGCATCTCTGGGGTATCGGCCGCCCCCGTCAGCGTTCACTTTGAATCCCTTTGCTCACTTGGCTTCAGGGCGACCCTCTGCCTGCTCCTTCTGCCCGCTTCTGCCTGTCCTTCCTCTTCCCTCTGTCTGCGTCCCACAGCCCATCAGCAAATCCCACCAGCCCCACGGTCATGGGTGCAGTCGGACCGCTCCTGTCCCTGCTCCTGCCCCCGGTTCCTGCCTCCCTGGTGCAGACAAGGCTGTGGTCATGGCCTGCGGGCCCCGTCCCAGCCTCCGCCTCGCTCCTCTGGTCTGCACTCCGCTGGCAGCTGCGGCGGGTCTCTGGGCCAAGGTGAAGGCGGCAAACCCCAGAGTTGGGCCCTGCTCGCCATGGAGGGTGCTCTCTGACCTTGCGGGCCAGCAGAGGGTCCCCAGGACTACGTGGACATGAGAGTGGATGCGCTCGGCCTGCTGTTTTGAGTTCATGAGTCTGTTCAAAGCAGCCGGCCTCTAAGACCCCGTGTCTGTGTGTCTGTCTGGCCTCTATCTAATTGCATTGGCAGGTGGCTGGAGAAGCCGCTGTGCCTACGGCCCGTCCGTTGCCCACCGAGCAGTGGAACTGGGCGTGATATAAACAAGCCTCTGGCTGGGTCTCTTGTTCCCTTCCCCCGGGCTTTGTCCTTGTGCCAACTGGCTGTCGCCTGCCCTGATGATGTGGCTTCAGAAGCACTTGTGGTATCTGGTGCTCTTGCTTTTTTAACCGAGGACTCTGCCTTTCTCATGTTTGACCTGCAAACAGAATCTGAGTACCTTCATCAGCGCGGCCAGCAAGTGTGCCCAGCTGCAGTACCTGTGGAAGACCCGGGACTCGGGAGCCGTGAGCGCCCTCACCTGGAGCCTCGCTTCCTACACCTGCGCCAGTAAGAGCGGGACGCGGGGGGAGGGGCGGCATCTGGCGGCTGAGGCTTATGACCTTGATGTCCACCTGGCACCGTCCCACAAGCTTTAATCCTTTGCACATAGCTGTTCACGTAGAACCTCCAAGTGGACATTGAATGACCCTGATGTCATGCAGACCACCTTCCGTTCTCTGCAAGATCCATATTCCAGCTGCTAAAAAATAAGTAAAAGCCCACCTTTCTCCAAAAATCTGGCCTAGTATCTGCCATCCTCTCTTATTCTTTGAAAAGCATCAAGAGGTTGATTAGGTTGAATCCACTAACTCGTTTTATAAACACGAATCTTTATGACGTAACAGATTACAGAGC